TTCTTGATTGCGAACATATTGATTGATTGCGACAATCGCCACGAAATCGCAAATTTCTCTCGCCAAACTCGCTCGGAATCCGAATTTAAAAAAATTTTTAAGTTTAATTTTAAAATTTAACATTTTTTTCTCTCCGTAGGAATCCCCAACGCCGGCGAGGAATGCCGGCCGGAAGTCGGGTGTCACGCCCTCCACTCGGAGTGCGTGAACGGGACGGAGGCGTGGAGCTGCGAGTGCCTGGGAGGATACACGGAAGAGCAAGGGCGATGCAGTGAGTCTCTTAATGTCCTTTTGTCCTTTTTTTTTTAAATAAACGGCAATTTTTTCCCTGCGAATTCCAATTGGCAATTGGAATTCGCCAATTGTCAATTGACCCACAATAACGAAAATGTGAGGAACAACGAAGAATCACTCGTATTCGATTCCTTCAAGATGACCAAGAACTATGACGTCATATTCACTTTTTTTTTTGTACGGGACGCCACATATTTAATACGTCGAGAACTGACAATAAAAGTATCATTTTAAAAGTATCCTTTATCGCGTGCATTTGCAAGATGCAGTCACAATGATGAACTTGCATAGTCGATCGCGGAATCGGACTTCGTGAGACCGAAAATCGGCCGAGTTCCGTGAATACTCTCTTGAATTAAATTTTTTTCTCCTCCTAAACGTGTCATTCATTTGAATGCGTTGCTATTTTTATTTTATTTTTTATTTTTGTTTATTTATTTTTATTATTATTATTTTTTTATTTTTCGTAGGACTCCCGATCGTCCAGGAAGAATGCCTGCCGGGAGTCGGGTGCTCCACGCCGAATTCGGAATGCTCAAACGGGGCGGGGGAGTGGATCTGCGAGTGCAAGAACGGATACAGGCAAGATGGCGTGGAATGCAGTGAGTGATGGTCCTTCTCTAAGGTCATGGGTGTCCTTGATGTTTGAGTCCTGGAACGGTAATTCCCGGGAAATCAGATTTCGTGATATTTTGCAGTTCATGAACGATCGCGAATCGAAACCTCGATCTTACCTGCGAATCGCTGAATAACCAATCAGGAAAAATATGAGGAATGAAATTTTTGCAAATTCGAATTTGCAAATTCGCAAATTCGATTCGTTCCAACCGAGCAGGAACTCTGACGTCACATTCACTTTTACTTCGAGCGGAACGTCGCTCATTTCCTTTAGTGCGATGAACCAGCTGCTGCAATTGGCTTTCATGAAACGGAAAAAAATTGGCCCAATTCTTTGAATACTTTCTTTGGGCTCCTCGCTATTTTCCAAATTTTGGAATCGTCGCGAGGATTCCTTCGAAGACGTTTACGATTTTCTTTCCTTAGGGCTCCCGGTCCTCGGCGAGGGGTGCCTGGTGGACACCGGGTGCTCCACGGCGAATTCGTCGTGCGTCGTGGGCGGGTCGGGGGCGGGGACCTGCGAGTGCAAGAACGGGACCATGGCGTACGAGGGGAATTGCAGTGAGTTTCTTCGTCTGATGCCGGAAGTGATTGCCGTTCACATTGAGTGTTGGAAGGAGGATTCCTGCGTAATCCGTTTTCATTTTATCATGCACGAGGTAATTAGTGAAGGATTGTGAATTAAATTACAGTGGAGCGCAAAAAAAATTGCCGTTCGCTTTTAGCGAATACTTGCTCTTGGAAGCGATGAATTTCTAAGGAACTTTTTTCACAGATTCCCCATGAAAATATTTTTGAATATAAATACAAAATTCAATCATTGTTTCGATCTCCCTCTGCAATCAATAAGAGCCAAACATCTCTCTTTCGTCGATGCGATCAATAAGCTCGACGACGCGAATTCCTTGCCGTTTTCCCCGCAAGGATCGGCCCGATTCACCAAGATTTTCCCGGCCGCCGTTTCTCCACGCATCGCTTATAAATGAAATAAATAAATGGCACACCTCAAGCTTTCAGTTGGGTTTGCGTCCAGATTGTTTGGTGGCCAGTCGATCGTTTTCTTCAGCCAGGATGTTTCTTGGGATTTTGAGCGTAGTCCATGATCTTTCTGAATGAATGGCACGATACCTGGCCTTTATGGACCAACGACGTACTGTATTTCCGAACAATTAACCGTTTTCATTGGTCTGTTCCTCTGCAATGTCCGGAAAATTCAAATGCAGAAAGGGAGGAGCGAATCGGTAAAATCTCGACAAATTGATGCGGTGAGAAATTCGACTCCTTTCCAGTTCTTTTCGGGGAGGAACTCGGGGATCCCTGCGACCTGGAATTCGAAAATGTGACCTGTGGAGTCCCCAATGCCATATGCGTCGAGGGACCCTTCGGGATTTCCTGCGGGTGTAAAGACGGTTGGGTGGTCGAGGACAATTCCTGCAGTGAGTATATTATTTCATTCGGCTAATTAATTTTCCACGAGTAGGTTAATACGGTGACTTCTTAATTTCATATACCAGCATTTCGACGGAATCGCTCAAAAACAAGACGTGACTGAAGCCTTTAAATTTTCCTTTAAAGTATTCTATTCTTTCTCTATACATATGCAATAACGTTCTATCCATTTCTTAAGCACTTGGAAGAACCCATCTTGGAATAGTAGCTTTAGAAAATCATTAGATGCTCCTCAGTTCCTGATCGGCCAAAAATTATGAACATAAAACGGTGATTTCCACTTCCGGAAGGAGAAAATAATCCCAGGGTACCAAATCCGACGAATAGGAAGAATGAAGCAGCACTTCAGACCAAAATTCCGACGATGTCTTTTTCATGCGTCAGCAGGTGCATTATCACATACGCACGATGGTCATGACGCCATGCACGATGGTCATGACGCCATGCCTCCCTCGGGAAGGAAAAGCGCATGCATCCTTGTAGGTTTGAAACCTCGAGTCAAAGGTGTTTTTTTGTTGTTACATTTGCACTGACAGGTCCGTCACTTCAATTCTATTTAAAAGATGCACAGACCTGACTTGGAATTGGAATATGTCCAGTTTTTTCAGCAACGAAAGCAATTGTGACAACTTTTTACCAAATGATTCAGGCGAAAAGCCGGATTCGGCGGCTCATTGCTCTCTTCGTCACTTTCGTTGCATTCACGGCAGGAATGCGGACGGATAAGTTTGGAATGCGTCATGTTGACATTGCAGTCGTCCATAGCACTCCAAAGCACTTGGAGATTTCGCCTTCGAATCGATCCGTTTGTATGCAGTCATCAAGCCCCGGCGCAGTAATACAGGGTGTCCCATAAGTCACAATGCCGTTTCAAACTGCGAATTTTTCCGAACTGCAACAACCAAGTCATTTTCGTTAACGTTGGCGGTAAGAACGTTCTTTAGAATTTTTTTTTCATAATTTCGACTTGGAATCAGAGTGAAACAGAAATTGCTTCAGAAGCATATCAGAAAGGCGTACATTTTTAGGGCAATTTATGGTACACGTTTTTGAATCCTCTTCTACAACCCTCTCGGATCCCGGGGGCCCCCTGCTTAGAACACATGGCCACATTTCGCATTTAGAAACTAATTAAGCGTCTTCGGCGTGCAACGCCCGCAAGATTAATGCCAAGAGAATGGAACTCAGCCATTTTTGTCTCCATATTTGCCAGAGATCGGGGTCGGCTCGGAGTGCGACGGCGACGACTGCGTGCAGAACGCCAGCTGCAAAAAAGGCGAATGCGCGTGCGACGAAGGCTTCAAGGAGGACGAGGTACACCCCAAGCGATGCGGTGAGTCCAAGCATCAAGCACTAAGCATTAAGCATTTAAGTCTCGTTCGTGGGCCCGCGAGCAAAAAAAATTCTCATTCCGCAGCGAGTTCGGGTGCGATGGCGGCGATTTCCTTCGGTGTCCTGGCCGTTTCCGCAGTGTCTTTCGCGTTCTTCCGGTGAAAGCTTCCACGTCGATTGAAAGGACTTCAATATGTTATTTATTATTATTATTATTATGAATAAAGTGATAACTTCTGCGTGTTGCTCTGACATTCTTACTTTTGTCATTAAGTTGTACCTGGCAATCACACGAGCAGAAAGTTTTCACGGAATCTCGTGAAATCTCTCGCCAATCGCCATGCCATTCCATTTCGCGATCGTTGAGGCGCAATCAGGGAATCGCTTTTCTCTTCAAAAACTGTCAGAATGTAAATTTGGAAATTTACACCGATTTACTCCAATAATCCTCCGATTATCTTGACCAATAATCCTCCGATCACAGGCCCACGAAAGTCGTATTCAATCGACACAGCTGATTTTATTTTATCTTCGATATGAGTTTGAAGTGCTCTCAGAAACCCAAGGCCGTGTCGAAGCGGCGTCACCTGTTCTCCGCGTCGAGATCAACGCAATCCCAAAGTCTGGCTCTGATATCATCTCTAGCAAGCTTAGGCGGATAATCCCGGCGCTCGGGCGAGAGTAAGGGTGACGGCATGCACGATTCCAAGCCGATTGGACGAGGGATGCATGGAAGAGGGATGCGTGGATGAGGGATGCATGGATGAGGGATGCATGACGCGGTCGGAAGGATTTCATGCCAGGTTGGCGGTATGTGCCCAATCCCTTTCATGCTGCTGGCAAAATATTGCAAGTCGTAAGATCGGCTTTCGCTGAATAATTATTTGATCGTCAGTGTCATATTTTGCATTAGCTTGTCGTCGGCATTCGTTGCTCAGCAAAAGTGGGATTCTTCCTTTTTTTTCCTGCACGCTCATTCTCCATATTTTAACCCTCTTTCGTTCATCTGTAAGTATCTAAATAAATTCATGTATAAGCTGTTTCATCTGGAAGTAGTCTCCCCGTCCCCTTCCTCCCGCTCTATTCCTCCCCCAAATCAATAAAACATTAACATAAACAATTATGTAAATTTCTCAGATAACTTCTCGTCTCCCTTCATTTCTTTGTGTCTGCATACCCGCTCCCAATGCTATTTCCCAAAGGCGCGACGATCGCGTCGAAAGGCCCTCGTGCCAAATCATCTCGGGATGGAAACTCTAAGCGATCGCAATGACTCTAAGCGTCCGGTAAAAAATAAAAATTAATTATAAGAATCGCCTCCATCGAATCTGTGGTTAGCAAGATATCGGCCAGGAACTTTAAAAAGAAAACGGCAAAAAATGTCCATCTTAGAAGCGATTCATACACAATTGCAGTTTGAATGAGATTCCAGTTTCACAATTGCAGTTTGAAAGTGTGAAATTCGGGCGATTTGGATTCCCAGGCGAGGGGAAAATGGCAAATCTCTCGTTACAGGAAGTTGCGCTCCTCTTTCGGGTGCGTCGGAAAAGCAATAGACTTGTTTAACTTCCAAAGTTTACATGAAAATGGAAAATTTTCATTTTTTTTCTCGATCCGGTGGAGTTTCTTTCAACGTACGATATCAGGGCTGGAGTCCTTCGAAAGGTGAGCTTCAGATCTATTATAGGGATTTCTTCTACCGTTTTCGGTAGAAAATTTACTTCATTCAAAAAAATTTGCAGATTATATTTTTAAAAGAAATGTCTTTAAATGGCTGAATACTGACAACTAGAGAGGTTTTTTTTGGAGCTCTCGACGAGAGGGGAAATGGAGGAAAACGCATTTTCCATTGAGAATTTCCAGGGGAAACGAAGTAGCTTTCGAGTTAAAGGGAAATTCGAATCATCGAGAGTTTACTGAACCTCTCTTTTCCTAACGGAATCATTTCTTCCAATTTTATTTCTTCGTTCCATACATCAATTTTCCTTTCAGGTCGGGTGCGGTCGGTAATTTATCAAGTACGTTGATAAATTACCGGCAAACAGCCCGACCGTCGCGATTAAGAGATAAAAACAAAGAAAAGGATAGAATTTGTCCCCTTGGGAAGGTTAGTATTGGTCATTACGGAACCAGTGGCCGTAGGACAAGATGTCCAAAACAAACTTTTTTTTTTCCACAGATTTCGTTTATTCTAATTTACATTCAACACACAATTAATTCTACAGTGTACAAATTCTACAGTGTACAAAACGAGAAAATTAGCTAAGTCTCTCAGCACCGCGCAGTGAATGCGAAAGTTTCAATCCCCGAGATATAATCGACCCTTACGAAAATGTATTATAGGATTCCTATATATTCCTTTAGGAATATATAGGAATCCTAAGGATCCTATATGCCCCATAGAGTTC